AGGGAGACCCTGTCTCAAAAGAAGAAGAAGGGGGGGGATAGCACCTTGCTATGTAGCACAAACTAGCCTGGATCCTTGGTCCTTCTGCCTTAGAATCCCCAGTACTGAGACTGTGTGGGGATTTGCCAGAACCTGGACAGGTGGAGGGAGTAGTTTTCCTCCCTCCTAGCTCGCTCTTTGGGGAACCTGACTCCACTTGAAAGGCCCATGAAACCTCCCAGCCTCTAGTCCTCAGGTGTCCCCATGTCTCCTGCACGGCCCTGAGACTTGCCTTCAAAACACTTGCTCCTTCCCCAGCAGGACTCTTTCTGCTGTCTGGTCTCCAGAGGCCTGCGTGGAGCTGCCCCGGGATACACACACCTTCCCATCTCTACCCCATCCCTCAGGGGGCCTCTCCTGACCCTGCATCCATGTTGAACCCTGTGGACCTCTCCAGCAGCCCGTGTAAAATACGGTCCAAGCAGGCAGAGCAGACATCTCACTTTTTTTTTTTTTTTTTTTTTTATCTTTTTGAGACAGGGTCTCCCTGTAGCCCCAGCTGTCCTGGAACTCACTATGTAGACCAGGCTGGCCTCGAACTCACAAAGATCCACCTGCCTCTGCCTCCCAAGTGCTGGGATTAAAGGCGTTCTCCACCTGGGATTAAAGGCCAGGCATCTCACTTTTAGGGTTTGTGACATGCTCAGCATGTGTCTGGCACTGATGTTGCAGGGCCCCCTGCTGGAGGAGTACTGTAAATACATGAAGTAATACACACAAGATTACAAGGTATTCTCCCCAGAACCTTGGATAGTGATCTTAACAGTAATTAGGATCTCTACAGACATGATTACAATAAGGGTCTCAAGATAAAACCACCCTAGGTCGCCCAGATGGGTCACAAATCTGATGACAGTTGCCCTGAAAGGAGATAGATGAGGGTGGACTCCGAGAAGGCCATGCCACATGGAAGATGAGATTGTAAGCACACCTGTAAGGTGAGGAGCCAGGATAGCCAGATCTGGGAGAAGCACGGAGTTGACCCTCCCCGGATGGGAACCAGCCCTGCTCAGAGCCTATTGGCAGACTTCCAGCTGCCAGAACACACAGCCATAAATCCCTGTTGGTCCAGGAACCCAGTTTGTGCTCACATGTTACAGTACCCTAGAGCATGAATAAGTGGCCACAATGATTCGAGGCCATCTGTGATGTGCCCTGGATGGACTTTGTGGTCAGCGTGGTACAGGTACTGGACAAGGCCGGGGAGCAGGTGTCATGAGAAAGAATTTCCACTTGCCAACAAGAGCAAACAATGTTTTGCGTTTTGGGCAGAACTGTTACACGCAGCGAAAACACCAGTGGTTTCAATGGGCGAGAAAGTCGCGTGGATTGTAAAATTTGAGTTTTGTTGCTGCAATCGTAGTTGGAGAAAATGGGGAAATTTACTTTGGCACTAACGCAAACAAAGATGTCTCTCTCTTGTTGGGCGTGGTGGCGCACGCCTTTAGACCCAGCACTCAGGAGGCAGAAGCAGGGGGATCTCTGAGAGTTCAAGGCCAGCCTGGTCTACATAGTTCCAGGCCAGTTGGGGCTATAGGGAGGCCCTGTCTCAAAAAGACCAAAAAGAAAAAGAAAAAAAAAAGAAAAAAGAAAGATGTCTCTCTCTCTCTCTTTTTTTTATGGTACAAGTTTATCAGACCAGAATTCTAGTCACCTGATTTAGATAGTTTCAGAGTCGTTTTGGGGAGGGGGGCTGAAGATCTGGCTCTTAAGCACACTGGACCAGGGTTTGAGTCCCAGCACCCACATGGTGGCTAACAACTGTCTAGAACTCCAGTTCCAGGGGATTCAATGCCTTCTGATTCCAAGAGCATTCCATGACATGGGTGCACTTACATACATGCAGACCATACACTCACACACAAAATAAAAATAATAAATTTATATATATACTGTTGTTGAGACAGGGTCTCCCTGTAGCCCCAGATGTCCTGGAACTCATTATGTAGACCAGGCTGGCCTTGAACTCACAGAGATCTGCCTGCCTCTGGCTCTCAAGTGCTAGGATTAAAGATGTGCACCACCACACCTGGCAAAATATATTTTTTAGAAAAAGAGTCCTTCCGACAGAATGTTCTGGGCAGGGGGCTGGATTCTGGTGACCGTGTCTTGTATTTACGGGGATGCTTAGCCAACTACAGGAGAGAAAGCCAACCAGAAGCCCTGATCCTGCCTGTTTGTCAGAGCTAGGGTCTCTTCTGCACCGTGAAGCCGTGTAACCCAGACCACTTGAATTACCTCTTAAAGCCTTAGATTCCTCATCTGCAAATAGCCATAGTTCTAATATCTACCTCCATGGGCTCCTGGAGAATTAAGGGTCAAAACAAAACCCTAAACTAAATCAAATTATTCAGCCAACTATCAGAACACAGGCATTATCCACCAAATGCTAATTACTACAGATGCTTCATAAGCAATAGTTTTGCTAAGCACCCCCCCTTTTTTTTTTTTACCTGATCCTCTTCTGTGGAGCTCCACGCTCAGGAAAAACAAATGCTTTTAAAGTGCAAATGTTTCACCTGTAGAGGGTAGACAGGCCGGGAGGTGAACAGGCAGGCGTAGGAAGGCAGTGAGAGGACACTGCCTGCCTGGGTTGTAAGCTGCCTGTTCCTGGACTAAGTGACCGACAATACTCTATGACAAAGTGAACCAGTTAACACATCTTTCAGCAGATTCAGACAGAAACAAGGTCCTAGGAGCCCTTGTCATGAAATTGCTCACCACGGTTTCTTTTTTGCTGTTGAAATGGAATCCACAGACAATAACATGGTTTAAAACATTGGCTTTTTCCTCTCGGAACCAGAAACTACAGCTGCTGCAAACAGCGGCTGGTTAGAAGCAGCACACGGAAGGGTATTTTGAGGGATTTTTCTGCAAACAGCATTTGCAACGTGCAGAGTCTTTTGTGTAAATTTCTGGGTGCTAAATCACCCTCGAATTTGGTGACAGAAACAATCTCCTAATGAGATGAACAAGCAGTTTTCTTTTATGCATAGACAAGAATGATTTCACTTTGAGGGGGGTACTCAGAGTCTCGGGATTAGGGTGTCCTGGATACAGGCAGGGTCTCCTCGGAGCTCTGGAGTCTGTTTCTCCTCCCTCTGCCCTCAGTCTCCCCTTTTTATCCCTATTTTAGCTTCATGTGGCCAGCACTGGAAGTCCATTCCAGGACCTGGGTGGGGCATGCTCTATAAATAGACTCAAAACTAAAGCATCCTGGCCACAGGACATACCCCTAACAGATGTCACCAGCCTCCACCCAGGTCATGGGCAGATTCCTGCCTCGCAGCCACCACCTCTCCATAGGCTCCCAGGGAACTGGCCTTCTCCCTAGGGGTCTTGGCCCACCAAGTACTGAAGTGGCATCAAGGACCAAAAGCCACCACATTTGGGGGCCACTTCATGAGCACCAGCATTCTTCTAAGCGCTTCGGATATAGTGCCCTGGTTATTGTTCTCCTGACTCTTTGAAGCAGGAACCGTGATGACCCCATTTTGCAGATTGGTACACTGAGGTTCAGAGGCTAAGTCACTTGATCAAGGTCCAAGGGTATGAAGAGGTGTTTGAACTCAGCATCTGACTTCCAGTCCAGAGTACAGGGTGCCCATCAGAATGAGCAAATCCTGCCTGTTCTCTACAGCCTTCAATAGAAAGACCATAGGATGGCTCAGCATCCCACAAGTACCTGCGGCTGATGGGCAAGCCACCACCCAGGCCCACCTGTAGCCCACCCCAGGCACCAGACTGATGGGCAAGCATCACCTTTGTAATTTATTTTTAAAATCACCTACACAATCTACTCATTTGTGGACGGCAAAATTTCAAACACCCCTTTTTTCCGCAATGCAATGTTTTTTTAAAAATTTTATTGACTAAATCAAAGGATGGATGGGGCTCACCATTTGGAACACACTAAGGATTTGTAAAGCATTTTTTTGTCTGTTCACTCATTTTCTTCAAAGCTAATTATCAACAGAGAGCAACGACGGAAACAAACAAAAGCAACAAAAAAACAGGAGCAGGAAGATGGCTCACCACATAAAGGCACTGGCCTCCAAGCCTGATGACCGGAGTGTGATCCCCAAGACCCACAGGCGGAAGGAGAGAACTGAATCTCTCTGACCTACACCCTCACACCCTGGCACGTGCAGAGTTCAACCCCAGGAGCCTACATGGTGGAAGCAGAGCATCAACTCCTGCAAGTTTCTCAACACATGAACACCACACACACACACACACACACACACACACTAAATAAATAAATGAATAAATAAATAAATAATAAATAATGTAATTTAAAATCCCCCCCCCAACTAATATTGTTGAGACCCAAGTCCCAAGTGTCCACTTAGGGAACCAAGTGTTTTCAGGTCAGAAGTCAGCACTATTTTCCTGCCGACTCCCTGGCTAGAGATGGTCTACCTGTCACCCCTCCATGCAAGCTGACTGCCTCTCATCCCTTAAAAGCCAGCTGAGAAAGTTGCAACACTTCCCCGGTCCAGTCTAGACGTTCAAGCGAGGCGGGTCAGGAGCCTCAGCAAACTGCACAGAAACCGGCATTAAGCCCTCCTCCTAACCGTGGCGACGAGGTCCAGGCTCCTGCAGAGCTTTGCCCACCTGGTCCTCTCCCAGCGCAGGATCTGCGCGGCCTTCAGCAACACTGAGGTCCGGACTCGCATCTCCCAACTCCCACCCGCGTCCGACCCTACCTAGCCTTAGCCTCTGCGGGGATGGCGCTCCCTTTCCACCTGGCCTGGGGACGGGGTGGGCAGGGGGCAGGCCTATGGGGTCGGGGTGTATCAAAGACAGCCAGCGATGCTCACGGGACCCCGCGTCTACACTCGCAGCTCCACTCCAGCCCCCTCCTGCCACTGGCATCGGGTCCCTCCGGGGGGTTCGAACTCGGTAGGGGGGGACCCGGTGTCTCGCACTCTGGGTTAGGTACCCCGACTGCAGCTCACCTCTAATCCTCGCTTCCGAGCCGCGTGCGGGGAGAGCGGTGGTGCCGGGCTGCTGCCTACCTGGAGGGCATCCGTGTCCGGACCCCCGTCTTAGCCGCTGCCTCTCCGCCCGGGCGGCGGGGCGCGCGCTGGGAGACAGGCGGGCCGCCCCGGGCGGGTTATATGCACGCGGGGCGGGGAGGCGGCGCCGCCCGTGTTAGCGCCTTTCGGAGCCGGGCGGCGGGAAGGCCTCGCCGGCACTCAGCCGTGGCGGGAGGGGGGCCGGGCGCAGGGGTCCCGGGCTCCCCCAGCGCTCCGCCTCCCCAGCTGGCCCCGTCCGAGTCCCGGCCCGGCCGGCTCCTCCCCGCCTCCTTCCCGCCGCCGTTTGGCGCGAGTCGCCTCGCCGAGCCCCAGCGGGATGCTGAAGCCGGGCCCGGGCGGGTGGGGCCTGGGCCTGCGGCGGCCGGACCGACGGCGACCTTCCGCTGGTATCCCGGGGCGCGGGAAAGGGCGCGCAGGCGTCGAGGGGCGGACACAGGTGCCGACTGCGCGCCCGACCAGGGGTTCCCTCCCTCCTCCGCCTTCTCCCCAGACACCCATCTTCCCCGATGCCCGGCTGCGCTGTGCGTCGAACCCAAGGGGCAGAAGTGCCCATTCTAGAGGAGCTGCTCTTCCTCCTGGGTCCGCTGGCCTTGGCAGACCAAGGGGAGGGACCCGCACTCAAGACCTAGGTCTGGGAGGAGAAACGGCTCGCAGTCCGCTCCCAGCCCAGGCCAGTGCAGACCCTCTGGGTTCCACCGGTGGGACTCCACCTGCAGGTAGCGCCTGCTGGAGGCCAATGTCCGCGCCCTGCTCCCTCCGACCGCCCGGGTTTTCTGGCCCCCACTGCCTAATTCTGTTCTTGGTTAGTAAAAGAGCACGCGGGTGTTGGTGTCGTAGGCGTCACGGATGCGCACAAACTGTGCACAACAAGCGCTCTGGGTTAGGAAGGGGCTCAACTCTGGCTCAAGCTGCCTTCTGAACCACCCGCTGTCTCCCCCTGGGCAGGTGAGGTCCCCGGGGCCCTTAACCTGGCACCTGGGCTCTGGGTTGAAGGGCCCAGAGTTCCGCGCCTCACTTGGCTGTGCGCTGCCCTGGGGTGCTGGTGGGACTCCTTATCTGGCTCTGCGGGGTATCCCTTGCCCATGTGGTCCCCACCCACCCTCCAGGTCTCATCAGGATAGTCAAGGGCTTTGCAAGAGAGGTGGGCAGGTACAGACAGGATTCTCCCTGGCACTCAACCTCCCGCCTGGAGCCAGGCTAACTCTTACACCAAGCAATCCTCATTTCCTTCTTGGAGGTTAGATACATCCGCGGCGAGCAGGCACCGGGTTAGGAGCCTGGCGAGCTGTGCTAACAGTTCCAGACCTGGGCTAAGCTTTCAGAATCCAAGGCCCTGAGCGGGTGGCAGGGACTGGGCAATCCGATAGGCTGTAGAGGCGCTAGGTAGGCTGGGACTACTAACCTCCAGAGTGAGCCACGGGAGACCTCTGGGGCGGAGCACCCGGGATCCCATGGGCATACAGTGGGGAGCCAGCAGGGTCTGCAGAGCCCAGCAGGTGCTCAGTCCCATAGGTGCCTAACAGGGCTGCTTCTAAACACTTCGTCTGAATTCAGTCACACTCAGCACCACCAGGTGGATGTGCTGGATCCACAAGTCTCTTGGCTGGGTCAGTGTCCCGAGAAGCACCGGAACAGGAGAGGAAGTCACGCTGCAGGTCGCTGAAACAACCCTCAAAGCAAACATTATACTAAAACTACTTACAAACTATATTGCGATCCGTACTATGTTCTGTTTTGTTTGAGAAAGGGTCTGGTACAGCCACGGCTGGCCTCAACCTCGCTGTGTAGCTGAGGAAGACCTCGAACTTCTGATTCTCCTCCCTCCAGCTCTGGGCTTACAGGCGTGCACTGCGGGGTTTATGTGGTGCTTGGGGATGAAAACTAGGGCTTCTTATGTGCTAGGGAAGCACTCCTCCAACTGAGCCAGGCCGCATCCTCTGAATACATACTATGACATGTATTAACTACATGAACTGATATACGTGTAGACGCCAACATAAATATGCGTTCATGTATTTTATCTGTTATTTGAATTTTTCGAGAGTACTGCCTGCTTGTGTGTAAGTGCACCCATTTCTGCAGTGGTCAGAAGAGGGGGTCGGATCCCCTGGAACTGGAGTTATAGACTGTTGTTAGCCACCATGTGGGTGCTGAGACTCGAACCCGGGTCCTCTTCAAGAGTAGCCGGTGCTTTTAACCGCTGAGCATCTCTCCAGCCCCAAATATGCATTTACATATAAATAAAGGTGCGTTTTTCAGTCCACGCGTACCCAGTGTAGCACCAGGGAGCGTACTCGCGCCGGAGCTTCTCGGAAGTCAGTATCAGCGCAGCTTCGGGTTGGGCTGAACGCTCCTCGGTACGGCAAAGGCGCTCGACGCCTTTAAGACAGCAGCGCGGACTCCCCGCCCCACAAGGCCGCGCGGCGGCCCCGGCGCCCATTGGCTGCAGCTGGCTTCCGCCGCCGAGCTTCCGGCCGCCTCCCGCGGAGGTGGCGGGCGCTGCAGCCTCATCGCGCTCTCGGCGCCGGCGGCTTGGCCGCGGCCATGAACTTCTCGGAGGCGTTCAAGCTCTCGGGCCTGCTCTGCAGGTTCTCTCCGGACGGCCGGTACCTGGTGAGCGTGGGCGAGGCCGCGGGCTACCGCACGTGCCGCGACGGGTGTGGGGCCAG